GAACTTTATTTATTTCTTTATTTACCGCTGAGCTAGCAGCGGCTACGATCGCCAACGCGACGAACGCGTTAAGGTTTGTCTTGCATTCTTTCACAGATATAGAAACGAAGGGATTTTAAACCACATTTTCTCTTGCAATGAAAAATGGATTCTTTTTGATAATCGCGGTCATCATGTTAGTTTATTCCCGGTTCAGCACTTAGGCAATGTCCCAAACGAAAACTCACCCCTACAAGTCATGGTCATTGTTTGATTATCTAGTGCGGCTATTAAAATTCATCAAGTTTTTTACTAAATGTCACCAGAATTACTATGGATGTGTACTGTAAGGAATTGGAGACAATGGAGAAGAAACTGGCGAATCTCCGGCCAACCTTTTTTAATCACTCGTCCTCACTGGTCCTACGCTACAATGCTCGACCTCATACATCACAACAGACGCTACAAGAGGTAGGGTTTTAACTTCTTTTTTTATGGTTGAAAAATTACTGGTAACCTGGAGGCCTTTCCAGTTTCACAAGGACTGGTGGGCGAGCAAAGGCTCAGCCAGGAGGGGTGGGATCTGCTAACAACTGCCCGAGCGTGTCTCCAAAGGAGATCTAACAACTCAAGAGCAAATGGCTTCGGGAATGAATTTACTACCTTTATTTTATTGTTCCCTACCTCACTGGTAGCCTTTGGGGCTACTTCAGTTTCATCGGTTTGGTAGGTGAACTCAGGCATCCAGTCCCAGGAAATTGCTATCACTTGCCCTAGCAAGACCAATGCTTCGCTGAACCTACCAAAGGATCGAAATCGCTTAATATTAAAGGGAATCTACTTAAATCTGTTACAAACATTATCTAAAAGAGATAATACGTATAAGAATCACAATACTTTTATGTTCTTCTTATAAAACATACATATAATCGACAACATGTACTTAATCAAACTCATAGTGACGTCAATTCCAATAAACATTATTTATTTATTTATTTATTTATTTATGTACACACAGAAAACAAGACACAGTACAGAGTAATAGGAAAATTATGTACAAAGGCACTGCTTATTTCTTTGAGAAATCTCTTCCAGCAGACCTGCGAGAGGATAATGAGAATAATAATAAAAAGTGATAAGTGTGTGTAGAACACATAACTAAAATAACAAATACAACATGAGAATTATANTCCAGCAGACCTGCGAGAGGATAATGAGAATAATAATAAAAAGTGATAAGTGTGTGTAGAACACATAACTAAAATAACAAATACAACATGAGAATTATAGCACATACACATAGCAAATATTATAAGTAACACAGTAACACTCGTATATGCGAAGAGTATAGAACCATGATCATTCGGTTGATGATAGATAAAATTGTTTAAACATAAATAATACAATGACAATAAATTACATACTTAAACTTAATAGATATTTCTTCAATGTTTAATTTAAAAAAATCGGGAGCCATTCCTTATCAATTGTTATTATAAATGCAAATAAGCTGTATTGAAACTGGGTTTGACGTATATAGTGACAAAACACTATACAAATGTAATGTAGTACGTACTAAATTATAATTCGCGTAATTACTGATGGTAGGACTTGTGAGTCCGCACGTGTAGGTACTACCACCCTGCTGCCTATTTCTGCCGTGAAGCAGTAATGCGTTTCGGTTTGAAGAGCGGAGCAGCCGTTGTACTATTAAAAGTGAGATCTTGCAACTCATGTCTCACGGTGGGTGGTGGCATTTACATTGTAGGTGTCTATGGGCTCCGGTAACCACTTAAGATTAGGTGGGGCGTGAGCTCGTTCACCCACCAAGCAATAACAAATAAAAAATAAAAAAGCACTGAATATGTATTGCAACGTCGCTAAGCAGTGCTTTTTTCACTATCAAATTGCCGGTAGCCTCGAGCGACTAATCCGGCTTATCCGGACTGATACGCGAACTCACGGGGCTCAACCTGAGAGATTATGCTAACGTCTACAGGACCGGATGTTGGAAGTAGTTGTCGCATTAGTGCACATAGAACCCTGTGGATTTGCGAAGTCTAAGACTAATTCCCTTGAAATCGTTGCTCAATTCGTATTAAGCGCTTACCGCTTGTGGTGCCTAGAGCTTGCGTAGAAATATTCGTCAAACATGAAAAACCGAGATATTATTATGTAAATTTTAAAAATAATTCAATTCTGTATAAGACACGAAAAGATAATTCGTATTTGAGCAAAAATTATCAAATCATTACTTATAATCGTAATCTTACGGCCTGGCCACGGGGATCGGCGGTGCGAACAGCGAAGCGGTGGGCGAGGCGACCATTCGCGCAGCACCGTTTGCAGGCCACGGGTACTCACGTTCGCCGCCGCGACTAGTAAGGAAGTCCGACAGCGAAATGTCTATATCGAAATTATCTCGATATTGCTTACAAATTAATAGTTTTTTGGTTCAGGACCTATTATTTGGAAAAGATTGTGAAGTACATGATTTGAATAAGAATCGGAGTATACCTATAGATGGAGAATTCCACAAGAAGTACGAGAAATACTTTGGGTGGCTAGACTTCCAAATAGCTGGTCTAGCTAGTATTTCAGCTATTTTATTTTTTTATTGCTTAGATGGGTGGACGAGCTCACAGCCCACCTTGTGTTAAGTGGTTACTGGAGCCCATAGACATCCACAACGTAAATGCGCCACCCACCTTGAGATATAAGTTCTAAGGTCTCAAGTATAGTTATAATGGCTGCCTCACCCTTCAAACCGAAACGCATTACTACTTCACGGCAGAAATAGGCAGGGTGGTAGTACCCACCCGTGTAGACTCACAAGAGGTCCTACCACCAGTAATTACGCAAATTATTATTTTGAAGATTTCATTTTTATCACACGATGTTATTCCTTCACCGTGGAAATCAATCGTGAACGTTGAGTGTTGTTGAGTACGTATTTCATTACAAAAATTGGTACCCGCCTGATATTCGAACACCGGTGCATCGCTCAACACGATTGCACCGGACGTCCGTTAGGCCACGACGACTTTAAAAATATAAAATAAAAAATAAATAAAAAATATAAAAATTTCGGCGTTAATTTTTCGCGGCGAAAACAACTAAACTCATTTAATCACTGCACTATTCGCCGCGACTACCGCTCGACTCCGTGGCTCGCGCCGTCCGTATTCATGCATTTGTTTTGCTCGCCCGCCGCATCGCGCGATTCGCTCGGTACATTTCGCCGGTCGCTTCGCCGGTCGCCGGTGCGCGTGGCTTGTTAGGTACATTTCTATGCGCTTGTTTTAGTCGCTAGACGCTTCGCCGTTCGCACCGCGCGAATATTCGCATCGGCGAATGTCCCGTGGCCAGGCTGTTATTGCTATAACTTTATTTAAACATGGTACTCACTGAACTTCATTGTAGTTTGGCGTTCAATTCCTATGCTAGTTTAGACAAGAATTATATTTAAATTCCAGTAATTAATTGAAGTCTAAGCACTTTGATACCAATGAAATTTAAAATAAGGATTACTTTAATTAAATAAGAGTAAATGGTTCCAATATTCAATTGCTCAGGAGTGATTACTATCTAATAGTCAATTTGGCTATCGCCATTTGTATAGAGAAAAATTCTGCAAGTGTTTCGTATTGCCAGGGGAAGATCTTCCAACAATCGGAATATCTAATCGGTTACCCAATGCGACGATCCGAATCATGTCTTTGGAACTTTTTTTCATTTCGTGATAAAAATATCACAAAAGTTTTAACTGTGAATTGGTAAATTTTATTCGATTTTTTTAAATCAATTTGTAATTATCGATATGATTACTTAAATGTACGTAATTACTGAAATGATATTGTATATTACGCCATACAAAGTCACGAATATTTACATTGTTTTATCTTTAACATCGGTACTAGTAACACACACAATTTTCCCAAGAAATCCCTTAGGCATTGCTATCGATTTGAAAATAAGACGAAATTTTGTTTCATATTTTTTGCAGTCCACAAAATTGTCGCAATGCTTGGTACTAAAGGTATCGAACGGCCATGTCATTGCAGATATCAGATTGTGGCTCTTAGAACATCAATGTCTTTTCTAACAAAAGCTTTCTAACAAGGTATTAATATTTGATTTGAATCTAAGTCCCTGTGGCTTCTAGAGGCTTTGTTATTGGTATCGACACGCCTGCGATACTAGCAGATATTACAATAAAATACCGAGCGAGCCAATGATGCATTTAGGTTAAAGGTATGTGGAAACCCGTTACAATACAATTAAAACCTTGTCTTTGTGTCTTAAGATGGGTTGGTGGTACCTAATCGTTATGTCTATGATAGACTTTGATAATCACTTCATCCAAAATAATTACTAGAACGAGACAAGCCCGTCCATCTTGAGATATTTTGATGAAATAGAAAGAAACATGGTAGATACTGGCAGGATAGTGATTAAAAGACTAGTGTGGGCCCACAATCCATCTCGATTGCGAAAGTATCAAAAGGCCGAAAAAGATGCTATATTACAACAATAAAACGCTTACCATTTCCTTTTATGTATAATGTAAGACACGCTCCGCTTATTTAAATTAGACCTTTATTTTTTTTATTAGATAATAATATGTTACGCCCTAAAACGATCCTTCGTAGTTTGAAAATTTCTCAATTTTCAGCTCATAATGTGTGCTGTGAATCGCATTACCAAACGAGGCCAAGTATGTATCGTGCGAGAAGCGTAGACACTGAAGGATGTGTTAGTTATTGCGGAATGCTTAAAATTTTACTGCTTGATAGGGTGAAAATTGTTTTTGATTATTTTTTCTCAACATATATATTTTTTTGAATACATTATCAATTGAATGGGCACTTGAATCGAATAAGGCGTCAGAACTATACGTATAGTAGTGATTAAGGACTTCAAATAATACAGTAAAAATGGCCCCCGAAATAAATGTAAAAAAAAAACACTAAAAAATAAAAACTGGTTTTAATGAGTCATTACAATAATTGAATACTCACCTAGAGCCGTTCGTTCAGTTATGATTAAAAATTTCCGTCGACGCATCCGCCGGCAACCGTCTCGTAAATCATTTAAAACCAACAAACTCTTCACACACTTTGCAATAAATTAACTACTACGAAAATTCAAAACTATTTTTTCAACAAAATCATATTACTCAATTTAGCTTCGAATGTGAAAAGTTATGAAATATTAATCACTTTCTCGACCATATCAATATTGTCAGCTACTAAACAATTTGTTCGTAATGTGAAATTCGTTTTTGGAATAAGATGAAACTCGCGCGTAAAGTTGGGAACATTCTGGTTGGCGTGTGGAGGCGGGCATGCGGTCGAGTCTCACAGAATAGACTGGGGCTTAGTTCTCGCAGTGGCGACGAACAGGGAATTCGCGCAACAGACGCACAATATCATATAAAATAGAAAATTCGGGCATTGTTCACGATTAATACAATTTGGGTTTTTTTTTGTTCAAACTGAAACGTATTTTTCAGTTCTAGAAAAAAATTATACGGATGAATAATATTTTTAAATATTATATGTTTATGTAACTTTCTTTTTGACCGGAAAATAATTGTAATTGAAATCGACATTTTCGTTTATCACAATTATTATTATATACATATTTTAAACATATATATTATTAAGATCGCAAAGATGTCAAGTACAATTTTCTTCTCTGTTTTCAACCTATTTCTTTTTTTTTATTAGTATTTTTTTTTTTGGAATATCTTTTTTTACACATTCAATGACGAAAACGATATTGTAATATTTAATTCAAAATTTAAGATGTCAATGAATATGATCAAATTAAGATCACTGAGCGAACCACTAGTACGTATAGTTTGTTAACAGATTTCCCTTTTTTTTCACCTTTACAAGAAAAAACAAGACAGAAATTGTAATGCACTTTCGACCACTAAACGAACACTACTATTATTAACTCAATTAAAATTTATGCGTCAGATCTTATTTTTAAATCCATTTTTATTTTTGGTTAGAGTAATTTAATGTATTCTGGCGAGAAAAGCAATCTGCATCATTTGGAGCCGCCGAGGTTAGGAATGCACCACTTTTTTATGTCGGCGCGTCTGACGCATGTGCCTTCTAGTATATTTTTTATTATTTCATCAAAAACTATATCTACGTATACTATAATATATGTACATAATTATGTTCCAGTTCGAAATATCTGCTCAGTAGCTCATTTAGCTAAAACAAAAATTTCTATTGGGATATATTTCGCAAAAACCACGATAAGGAATTTTCCTTGACCTTGATAATATGAAGCGAAAATATCTGTATAATAAACATTGGATTATCAAAATTACTTTGGCACATGCTCGAACCTGAGTTAGGTTTTGCTTGCTTAACTTAAAGCCTCATCAGACATAAACATCACAAGGCTTATTTCAAGGTAGGCAAGGATCATGCTTAATACCAATAAAAGCTATATTTTTCAATAATGCGTTAATACTATTTTTATTTTTTATTGCTTAGATGTGTGGACGAGCTCACAGCCCACCTGGTGTTAAGTGGTTACTGGAGCCCATAGACATCTACAACGTAAATGCGCCACACACCTTGAGTTATAGTTCTAAGGTCTCAGTCTTGCCACAACGGCTGCCCCACCCTTCAAACCGAAACGCATTACTGCTTCACAGCAGAAATAGGCAGGGCGGTGGTACCTACCCGTGCGGATTCACAAGAGGTCCTACCACCAGTAAAAAATATTGATAGTAGATAGAATTTTTTCACAGCACAGCACAGTAAATGAGCCTTTGTCGATTGCAACTCTTCCCGGTTTCTGGCTAAGCGCCATTTCTGCTTTCATTGCCTCCCACTTTGCAGTATCTAAATACAATAGCGGTATTGTCTTGTGATTTAGTACGTTGCACGATTGAAATTAAATTAGAACTCTCTAGATTAACACGAACTACATCATTCGGTGTTTCCGTGTGATTGCCCTCTGTAATCTTGGTGGGAATAATAAGAGTAGAAAAATAAATAATTTACTATAAAAATTGAAATTAGAAACTCATGTCGCAATGACAATCAATATTGTTGTCTATGGGCTTCAGTGACCGCTATAAATCGAGTGGGTCGTGAGCTTGTCTACCCAACTAAGAAATAAAAAACCTTTTTTTATGATTGAAGGATTACTGGTGGCCCTGAGGCCTTTCCAGTTTCACCAGGACAGGTGGGCGAGCAAAGGTGCAGCCAGGAGGGGTGAAATTTGCTAACAACTACCCGAGCGTCTCCGAAGGAGACCTAACAACCCAAGAGCAGTTGCTTCGCGAATGAATCTACCACTGGATCGGAATCGATAAAATAAAGGAAATATAGACACAGCTTTGCTCGTATATAATACGGAACTGACCAGCTCTTTTTTCATCACTAGAAACGAAATATCAAAATGCGGCTTCTCACCTTGGCTTATGAAGTCTTAATAAGTGCAAGGTAGTGGGGGAAGAGGTCGTCCGAAGAAGACGTGGATGGAGTGTGTGAATGACGATATTATCATAGAGAGGAGTGAGTGTGGAGATGACGGCTGATAGAAATGGAATAGAAAAATCCGCTGTGCCAACCTCACCTAGGGGTTAAGGTGGGGATAAAGAAGAAGAAGTATATATTTAAACATTTATAAGTATATTTATCAATCTCTGGTACCCATAATACAGAGAATCCTAAATGGAAGCCGGATGACCGTACGCGAGTTGCTCCCAGTAATAATTATTATTAAAATATCAGCATAACTGATATCGGAACGAATGATTGCTTTGAGTACGCTCGTTATTTATGTTGTACAATTGCGAATGTAGCAGTAATAAAAAAGTTTTTAGTGTTAATTAAAAGTGTTTTTTTATTATTAACGGCTAAATAAATTCAATTTCGTCATTAGCTGTAAGTGTTTTCTCGTCACTAGTCTAGACAGACATTATAAATCTTATTTAATTATAATGGTTTAAGACCTAATCAATAATAAAGAACTTTTTTTAAATATCATTCGTCTTCAACTGAAAAACATAATCTAACCCACGATCATACAAAAGTAGGGGCTTTCTTGTTGATCTAAATAACTTAAGTCTTTAGCGACCATGGATGTCACAACGTTATTACGGACACTTACCTGAAGTCCTGCGATCGAAGTCTACATTGAATTGTATAGCTTCAAACGGAAACCTAGAATATCTTCGCGACTGAAATAGACAATATAGGGTTCTTTTAGGCCCCTCAAGCACCGGTCACTGTCCTCGTGGAACTCTTCGAATACGACGAAGAGTTCGACGAGCGAACCAACCCATAGACACAGCCTACTAAATTTGTCACCGGATCATCTCAGTAGGTCGCGATTCCGATCCAGTTGTAGATTCTGCGAAGCACCGCTTTTGCTAGGGATAGTGTTAGCAATTCTTTCAGATTGAGCCCGTGAGCTCATCTACTCGTCCGGTCGTAGCTGGCATAGCCTCTTAGGCTACCAGAAGTAGTAGTAGAGAATATATATATCCTAACCTATATCCACCGTGAAGCAGTAATGCGTTTCGGTTCGAAGGGTGGGGTAGCCGTTGTAACTATACTGAGTCCTTAGAACTTATATCTCGAGGTGGGTAGCGCATTTACGTGGTAGATGTCTATGGGCTCCAGTAACCACTTAACACCAGGTGGGCTGTGAGCTCCTCCATCGATCTAAGCAATAAAAAATTAATAATAATAAAAGGTAGTATAGTGCTACCCACCCACATAGTTCCTAATAAATGGTTTCTAATAATCTGCACCTTAATAACAGTTTACTCTAAAAGCGCTCAAAATATTTAACCGATAAAAAAACATAGTCTTCGTAAAAGTGGTTGCCAATGTTTCACTGATAATATCTGATTCGGTCATGAGTCACACGCATAACAGAATTGTAATGATTATTGAAAATATCGGTTCAGCTAATGCGCACACACCGCTAATGATGGCAGAGTGTTGACTCTGCTCCGGCTAATGTGGGCCGTGATAAACCACTCGATCCGGGATTAAGTAATCTGAATTTCTAAACTGAAAAAGAGTGAAATTAATTTTAGCTTTTCATTATTTGACGGCGTTGGTTTTATATCAACCACAAAAAGGAGGAGGATCCTAATTGGACTGTATTTTTTTTTAAATATATTGTCTGATATATATTATCTCATAACTTTTTTGTAAGTGAACCGATTTCGACGTTTTTTTATTTCTTTTATATTAATACGTGAAGCAAAAACTTTTTATCCCTTTTTACGAAAATTGTGCGGACGGAGGAGTATGAAATTTTCCACACTTATAGAGAATATAGAGAAGATGTGCACAATGCTATTTTTTTTTAAATAATGCATAATAGATACATTAAATCAATAAAGAAAACATTACACACATGTATTTGACGCAAACACGCATGCATACTATTTATTGTCAAACTTTTGTTCTTGACGTCTGTTGTCAAATTGAGAATAGATTAAATATTGTTTGTCTTTGTTAATGTTTTTATAGTGTAGTCTTGGCGAAATTTGTGATTATAGAAGTATAAAATACCATCATAATAGTGTACAAACTTACAATTCCAATTAATTATAGTCGAATTTCGACTACTGCGGGACCTCTAGTTTCTTTTAAAAGCTGACGCCTTATATGTGACGGAATAATCGTCGGAATAATGAACGTCAACAAAAAAACCACGTTTATTGATTTTTAAATTGTGACAAAAAAACATTCTATATTTTTCTCGTAATCGCATGTTCCAAATTTATGGGTAAGATAACAGTCTTTCCATTTTCACTGAGATTTTCTGTCTATATCTCAAGGTATGCGGTGGCATTGTAGTCGTGGATGGGTTGCATTGAAACTGGCCCGGTTACGCTAATACCCCGGTCACCGTCCTCGTCGAACCCGTCGCTTGCGACGAAGGGCTCGACGAGCGAACTAACCCATAGACACAGCCCACTGAGTTTCTCGCCGGATCTTCTCAGTGGGTCGCGTTTCCGATCCGGTGGTAGATTCTGCGAAGCACTGCTCTTGCTAGGGTCAGTGTTAGCAACTCTCCGGTTGAGCCCCGTGAGCTCACCTACAAACGNTCGCTTGCGACGAAGGGCTCGACGAGCGAACTAACCCATAGACACAGCCCACTGAGTTTCTCGCCGGATCTTCTCAGTGGGTCGCGTTTCCGATCCGGTGGTAGATTCTGCGAAGCACTGCTCTTGCTAGGGTCAGTGTTAGCAACTCTCCGGTTGAGCCCCGTGAGCTCACCTACAAACGTTAGGGTGAAGCTGAAATAGACTCTCAAGGCTATCAACATAGGTGGAC